ATTCATCCTCACAGACACTCCGCGCGACCCCCTGACATGCCACTGACAGAGGGCAGGAATGGGGAGGGCACTTTCCTGGCCTGGTCTGCTTCTGGCCCTGGCCTCCCATGTGTACCTGGAACCCAGGTATGGCCAAGGCAGGACCCCGCAGCCACCCAGGAAGAGGTGCCCTGAAAGTGAGCAAGGTCTGGGCACTGAATCACCTGGGGGGGACCTCTTCTAGCCTGACTCCCATCCCCATGTTTAGAACTCCTCCAGAAGCTTCACCAGGCTGGCATCCTGGCATTTTTTACGGAAGAGCTGTGCAGGGACTGGGCCGTCCACGATGATGACGTGCTGAGGCAGCTTCGGGGTTTGGTCGAGGAAGTGCGTGGAGCCAAGTGTGGCCTGGCCCCCTTACGTGAGTGCAGCAGTAGGTGCCCTGGTGACTCTCCATCGGGGGCAGTAAATAATCAGGAGTCCGGAGAACCACCAGCCCTGCCCTTGGGGCTTTCTGCCTCCTCTTCCCCTCCTCTGCTCTAAGAAGCTTCTGAAAGCAAGGCCAGCAGGGCCTCAGGGCAGGTGCTGGCCTCAGAAGCCTCAGAGGCGAGGAGGGGGATGTCTCCATCTGCCACCAGCTCATCCCCCACGCCCTCCAGTTCTTGTTCTCCAAGACCCCCTGGTGACCACAGCAGCCTTCAGACCTATGTGTTCAAGCAGAAGACCCCACCTGAGAGCAGCAACTGCCCCCCAGAGAGCAGCAGGGCACCCCTCCCATACTGAACTCCCACACAAGGTCGTCAGGACAACAAGCCCCGAGCCAGACACTGAAAAGAATCATGTACCAAAGCTCAAAAGGACTCAGGGCGAGGGCGCAGTTTTCATCCATGGCTTGGCTGCACAAGGCACTGTGGGCAGTTGTTCACCTCCCGTGCATGTTGTGACGCTGATTTGTCATGAGCTGGACCAGTGCCCAGAAGGCGTCCTCCTCGTTTAGGTGCCAGACAGGCCTGAGGCAGTACCTAGAGTTCTGCTGAGTGTGGGAATGGTCCAGTCCTGGCAAGGAGCAGATGGCCCTAGAGAGCAGAGGGGCCAAGTACCTGGTGGCACCTCAGCCAGTATGGGGAGAGGCCCCCATGAAAGGGGTCAGGTAACAGGGTGTCTCACGCTTGAGTTCTGAGTCAAGGCTGATGCCCTAGCCCAGCTCCTATGAGGTGAGGGCCTGATGCAGAAAGCCTGAGCCAGCCCAAAACAAATACCATGTGGATGTCCCAGGAGCAGCTAGAGGTGCCCTGCTGGTTCCCAAGCCTCNTCAGCCAGTATGGGGAGAGGCCACCATGCAAGGGGTCAGGTGACAGGGTGTCTCATGCTTGAGTTCTGAGTCAAGACTGATGCCCAGGCCCAGCTCCTATGAGGTGAGGGCCTGATGCAGAAAGCCTGAGCCAGGACGAACCAAATACCACGTGGATGTCCCAGGAGAAGGTAGAGGTGCCCTGACGGTTCCCAAGCCTCGGGCTGAGCAAACCCTTTGCTTTGGGGTCATCAGCCTGCAGGAATGTCCTCAGTGTCAGGCCAGGGAGGCCACACAGCAACCAGGAGCACTGCAGGGAGCCTGGTCCATGGAGCCTGTCCTGGAAGGGCCGGATAGGCTCTGTGTGGAAGCTGACCACGTCTGCTTTTCTTTCAGCGAGAAGAGAGGAGTTCCCCAGGGAGGTCCTGGGCCTGGATCTGGTGTCCTCAGGACCCGGGCCTCTGCTGACCTCCCGAAGCGTGGAGACTCACCGCCGAGCTGTCGGACTGGCCCTCTCTGGCCCACCGTCTCTGTCCCCAGTCCAGGACAGGCCACTAGTAATATGGAAACTCCTGCAGTGGAGCTCGCTGCCAAACCTCCCCTGTGATGTGGACTTTGGGGCCCCATGGTTCCCCAAAGTCAGTTTCCAACAAGAGTGCTGGGTCCGTGCCACTTGTCCATCAGCTGTGGCCACCCAGTGGGTCTTGTCCTTCACCCCCACGGTAGCCCCATTACCAGGCCCTGTCTTGCCCCCTAATGGCTCACTGAGGGCTTGAGCCCACCTCTCCTATTATGTAGGAACCCACAAAATAAATTGTTATCAGTTACAACGTGCCTGTTTCTGTGGCTCCCAGACCTCTGTAGGAAGCACAGGACACTCTGGGGCAGGAGAAAGGTCAGGGTCTTGCAGCCCAGGCCACAGACCAGCTTCTCCTGGCCTCCCCCTGGCAAGGTCCTCAGCAGGCCGATGGCCACCCAGAGCCCAGGTTCCCACATACCTCATTAGAGGCCACAGGCCCACAGCCTCCCACTCTCAGCTGACACCAGGGTCAAGGGCATCAGGTGATTTACTGTGATTCAACCTTTGCCTGGCAAGGGCGCAGGGAGGATTGGTGAGGAAGTAAAGGATTACGGTGCCAGGTGAGTATGGGACAGGCAATGACAATCTGTGTAAAGCGTCCCTGGGATGATCTATAGTCACCTCTATTTCTGGGCTGATTGGGCTCTGGAGGAGCTTCCTTCCCTCTTTTCCTCCTCCTCTTCCTCTCTATTCCTGCTCCTGGCATCCGGTACCCTCACATCCTGAGCCTGTGTGGGGGCAGGTCACAATGGATGCTGCTGAACACCGGCCAAGGGAAAGGACAGGGAGGGAAGCGTGGTGGAGTCAGAGTCAGCAGCTCGTCTGGCTGGTGGGGGTGGGGGCGCTGACCCAGGAGCAGACTGAGACCTCGCACATGTGCGTGTGCACATGCGTGCTTGTGTGCACGTGTGTGTGTGCACACCTGTCGTCCCTGGTTTCTGCTCTAAGACCCACCCAGAGCCCAGGTTCCCACATACCTCATTAGAGGCCACAGGCCCACAGCCTCCCACTCTCAGCTGACACCAGGGTCAAGGGCATCAGGTGATTTACTGTGATTCAACCTTTGCCTGGCAAGGGCGCAGGGAGGATTGGTGAGGAAGTAAAGGATTACGGTGCCAGGTGAGTATGGGACAGGCAATGACAATCTGTGTAAAGCGTCCCTGGGATGATCTATAGTCACCTCTATTTCTGGGCTGATTGGGCTCTGGAGGAGCTTCCTTCCCTCTTTTCCTCCTCCTCTTCCTCTCTATTCCTGCTCCTGGCATCCGGTACCCTCACATCCTGAGCCTGTGTGGGGGGGGGGGGGCGCTGACCAGGAGCAGACTGAGACCTCGCCCGTGCACACCTGCCATACCTGGTATATGCCCTAAGACCCCGTCCATGACCCCAAGTGACCCCACCTGTACCCTTGCTGACATCTGCAGAGACCTATCAGGTCTCCCAGCTGGTGAAAACTGGACTTGGTCACTCCATCCTCAGAGATGTCACCATTACATAAACAAATGAACTCCCTTAGGGTCTCCTCTCACACAGATCAGAAGGGTGACACATTCTTGTCCTACTAGTATTTTCTCATCTCGTCAATTCTTTTTATCCATCTTCCTGCTCCTACTGATTGGGTATCAAGGGGGTTCTTGATGTGCAGTGAAGGGAGTCAGGCCCAGAAGGACAAACACCACATGGTCCTGATGTCA